CTGTTATAAAATCTAGTGTAAAGTCTTTTTTCCTGACTTATCCCTAACTGCCATATCCCCACTCTTCTCCCCAGCAGTAGCTGTGGTCTGCATTCTAACATAGCATGTACCCACATTGTACATTAAACATAATTTGTATGTAACTACATAAGATTTGAACTGAGTAGCAGGTGACTGGGTGACCTAATGTTTCCTTTTTGTATGTTTAGATTTTGTAATTTTCTTTGCCTGTTTTTGTAATTAATACCTTATACCTTTTTTCACCTCCCTTACTTTTTTGCGTGTGTGTAGTGACACAATCACAGCTCACTGCAGCCTTGACTTCCTGGGCTCAAGTAATCCTGCCTCAGCCTCCCAAGTAGCCAAGACCACAGGTGCACCACCGCACCTGGCTAATTGTTTTTACTTTTTATAGAGATGAGGTCTCGCTTTGTTGCCCAGACTGGTCTCGAACTCCTGGGCTCACATAGTCCTCCTGTCTTGGCCTCTCAAAGTGCTGAATCTATAGGCGGGAGCCACCGTGCCTAGCCTAGATCACACATCTTTAAAACAAATTTTTTTTTCTAACGTACAGGCTTATAGAAAAGTTGCAAAGGTAGTACAGGAAATTCCCCATGTACCACACCCACCACCGCTTTCCCTGTCACTAGCATCTTACGTTAGTATGGTACATTTGTCACAACCAATAAACCAATATTGATAACGTTATTATTAACTTAAATCCATACTTTATTCAGGTGTTCTTAGTTTTCACTTACGTCTGTTTTTTGTTCCAGAATCCCCCCAGGATACCATGTTACACTTAGTCATCATATCTCTGGCTCCTTGTGGCAATGACATTTCTCAGGTTTTTCTTGTTTTTGATGCCCTTGGCTGTTTTGAGTAGTACTGGTCAGGTCTTTTGTAGAATGGCTGTCTATTGGAATTTGTGGTTGTTTTTTTTTTGTTTTTGTTTTTTTTTATGATTAGACTGGGGTTATCTCATATGTATACATGTGGCCCTGGAAAAGTTTGTAATCTCTAGGCTCTGGGCCTGCTGTGCTTAATGGACAAAATAGTTTGTGTGCACACAAATACATCCAGAATTGGAAGAAAGTGTATGTCTGCTTTTATAGGTTCTACATATGCTGCAGTGCACTGTCTGTACCTGGTGCTGTGTTCTGCAGTCCTTCCCAGTGTCAGTGTGCCTGAGGAGCGTCCGCTGGCCTTTGAGACGGATACAAAGTCTCCGGATTATATGAATATGCCATGTTCAGATAGTCCCTTCCAAATAGATGTTTAGATTGTAGTTATTTTTGTTATTGCAGACAATGCTTCACATTTTGTGCACGAGTATGTGTCTCCCCGAAGGAAATTGCTAGAAGGGGGCCTGCTGGTCTGAGCATGCCCATTTCACATGTTGATGAGCACTGCCAAATGGCCCCACAAAGCATGAGCCATATCAACAAAGTGGAAAGTGTTTGTTTCATGATCAAATAATGAATCTCAAGAGCAATATTCCTCACAGACACAGAATGTTCCAGCAATGCTCCTTCAGGCACATTTCCTTTGCTGAAACCTTTTTAGCAGGTCCCTGGAGCACTCATGAACAAAATAAAAGGGGGAAAAACCCCAGAAACTCTGTTTTCTATTAAGTCTAGCATGGGGCTCGTTTTTTGTTGTTTTTTTTTTTTTTTGAGACGGAGTTTTGCCCTCATTACCCAGGCTGGAGTGCCATGGCGCGATCTCGGCTCACCGCAACCTCCGCCTCCTGGGCTCAGGCAATTCTCCTGCCTCAGTCTCCTAAGTAGCTGGGATTACAGGCACGCGCCACCACGCCCAGCTAGTTTTTTGTATTTTTAGTAGAGACGGGGTTTCACCATGTTGACCAGGATGGTCTCGATCTCTCGACCTCGTGATCCACCCGCCTTAGCCTCCCAAAGTGCTGGGATTACAGGCTTGAGCCACCGCGCCCAGCCCGGGGCTCATTTTTTGAGATGAAGTCTCACTCTGTCACCCCAGGCTGGAGTGCAGTGGCACAATCTTGGCTCACTGTAACTTCCACCTTCCAGGTTCAAGCAATTCTCCTGTCTCAGCCTTCCCTGATAGCTGGGACTACAGGCGCATGCTTCCACGCCCAGCTAATTTTTGTATTTGAGTAGAGACAGGGTTTTACCATGTTGGCCAGGCATATCTCGAACTCCTGACCTCAGGTTATCCACCTGCCTCAGCCTCCCAAAGTGCTGGGATTACAGGCGTGAGCCACTACTTGTGGTCTTAGCTAGGGGCTTTTAAATGACCCTTCAGGTGTGTGTGATCACTTGACTTGAGGCTTTTTTTTTACAGTGTTCCAGTGAAATTACCAGATGAACATCAGTGGTGAGAAATTCGATAGTTCTTTTTTCTTCTTCTTCTTTTAAGAAATTAGTCATGCCATGGATGTCTTTAAATGTCAACAGTAATGTTAAGACTTAATCTATGTAATAATCAGAATCCTCTTACTAAGCTGCCTACCTACTTAGCCATTTTGACATTTTTTTTTTTTTTTAATTTTTGTTTGAGACAGAGTCTTGCTCTGTTGCCCAGGCTGGAGTTCAGTGGTGCAATCTTGGCTCACTGCAACCTCTGCCTGCCGGGTTCAAGCAGTTCTGCCTCAGCCTCCTGAGTAGCTGGGATTACAGGCATGTGCCACCACACTAGCTAATTTTTGTATTTTTAGTAGAGACAGTGTTTCACAATGTTGGTCAAGCTGGTCTTGAGCTCTTGACCTCCAGTGATCCACCTGCCTTGGCCTCCCAAAGTGCTGGAATTAAGGCATGAGCCACCACGCCTGTCCTGACACTATTATTAATAGATAGAATGATCAGTGAAATCTCATCAGCACTGATAAGCTGTAAAACATGCCAGCAAATGACTTAGTGCATCCCAGCCTCCAAAATATGTCACCAAAGATTTTAAGACTAAGTTTGGTAATTACCATGAGTCCATGCCCCTCAGAAGAGACTTTTTAATGTAGGAAATTTCATCCTTGAACTGTGTGGCAAAACCAGGGAGCAGGATTTTGCTCCATTTGGGATCCATCAGTCAACAGATACTTATTGAGTATGTAGTTGATGGAGACTATGATAGGTTCTGCGGCTGGATCTCTTACCACATTTTCCATAAATCTGTGTGTGAGTCATGCCCTTATTTGCTTCCTACTTGTACTGTTTTCCTTTTTTTTTTCTTTAAGGAAACGCCTTAATTGCAATGAGGTGTTCATTTTATAATATAAAAATGTGAAGAGAAACATTCAATAAACATTTGAGTATTAATTCAGTTGAGGGTCCCTGTCAAGGCCCCCACCCTCTTTTTTCTGTGTTTAATGAGGGGGTCCGATGCATGACCGAGCCTCAGTTGGGAGGGGCTGAGGGGATCGGGAGGACTTCCGATGGGGAGCAGCTGGTATGAGAGCTCCACGGTGGAGAGAACTTGGCAAGGTTGAAGAGGAGTGGCGGGCAGGGGAAGGAGAAGAGCGAAAGGAGAGGAGGTGAGGCTGCCCCGGTCAGTCTGGAAACTTCAGCTTCCTCTTCAGGTCACTAGGAGCCATCAGAGGGTTAAGCCAACAGAGACAGCTTCCTGTTTTTAAGAGGTCAGTCTGGCTGCTGTGCTGGAAGCAAGAGAGAGAGAGTCTTGGGGGAGTTCCGAAGAGGAAAGTGGTGGCGGAAAGTGGAGTGATACCGGGTATCTTACAGAGGTAGAAGCAGTGGGACCTTCTGACCATTGTGAGGTGGTGGAGGGTAAGGGAAAAGGGAATTGCATGCCTGCTAGGTTTTTGCTTTAGCTAACGGGGTAAATGCTGATGTCACTTACTGAGGAAGAAGAGGGCAGGTTGAGGGTAGGTGGAAATCCACAGTTTTGGTTTGGTTATAGTTTGGGATCCCTGTGGACAAGAAGTTTCTGTGGGTATATTATGAATGCCTTCTCAGTTAAGCAAGGGTTTAAATCACATCCTCTGATTTATTCTCCCCAAAGACCACTAGATGCCGCTGTTTACACAGGTGCAATTACTTGTGCAGCACAAGACTCCTTTACTGAGGAGAGGGCACTGATGCCTGAGAGGAACAGATGTATCAGTTCTACAGTCAGTGATACATGGGGTTTCACAAGCTCTACCTTTTTGAAGTGACTTCACATGGGACAGAAAGCTAGGGACACTAGGTGGTGTTTGAGCTGGGTCTTCAGGGTAGCAAGGCATTTCAGGTGGGGCAGGGTGCTCCAAGCAGAAGGAACAGCCGGGCAAGAGAGCACATCTCACTGCTCATAGGGTAGACGGTACAGTGAAGAGGTTATTGGCATAGGGGTTTGGAATTTTTCAGTGTTTCTCAACAAACGCACAGGTAGACTTTTAAGAAGGACTGTCCCCTATGCCACCTCACCCACTGAATGCCAGTAATCTCTCAGGTCAGACTACCAAAAAAAATAAAAATAAAAAAAAATACTGCAGGGAGGGATGGAACACCCCAGTGGAAATCCCTTACACAATGCCTAACCCCAGAGTGATGGAGAAGGGGGAGGCAGCTCTGGGTCTGCACCCCTCCCTCATCTTGTCTTAATTTTGAGGTTCTCTAAAGCAGTGGCCTGTTTTGTGCTTTGCACATAGTGGTATTTGATTGGCTGATGATCCTGGTGAGTGGACATTTAGCATGGCTTCCTAGAATAGAGAATGTCTCTTACCATTCCCCAGAGAAGGACTGCAAGGTAGAGAAATTAACGTAGAAACGGGTCCCTCTGATTATTAGACTTAATACTAACTTAAAACTTTATTGGTACTTGCTTAAATGTTCCATCTTCTTTTTATTCCCCCAAGGCCTGGAAGTCATATAAACTAGTATAGAACTACTCACCTACCACAGAACAAGTAGACTCCATGCCGGAAGGAGATGTATCAGTTCTACAGTCAGTGATACATGGGGTTTCACAAGCTCTACCTTTTTGAATTCTTTGTAATTGCGTGACATCTCTGTACCCTTTTTTTCCAGACAATTTATGAAAACCGAATATACAGCCTTAAAATAGAATGTGGACCTAAATACCCAGAAGCACCCCCCTTTGTAAGATTTGTAACAAAAATTAATATGAATGGAGTTAATAGTTCTAATGGAGTGGTAAGTTGTTTTTTCTGCCCCCACTTGTTCCTTGGGGTTGACATTGCTTTGTCCTTAACATCAGGAGCTTTTGGACTGGGCCGGGTTCCATGTGTTCTTTGGTTATTTGATGATAAACTATCACTGTGCATAGGAGCCCAGATTTGGGGTGGGTCCTGTTTCCCAGTTATATCTGACGATCACTCATACAGCACTTACCCTGGGCTAGCTCTGTGCTGGTCGCTTTGAGATATGAGCTCTTTAAGTCATCACGTCACCCTGTGAGGTAGAGATGAGGAAACTGAGGCACACGTGAAAGGTCTTGCCCCGGGCAAGACCTTTACCCTCTGGGCCTAATTTTTTTTTTTTCCTTTGATGGCCTTGCTTTTTTATTTTTACTCTCATAAATGGAAAACCTGTCTCAGTTGTCATAATTGGGCAATAACGGCACAGTCGATCTTACAAGACCAGAGCAGTGTTAATACCACTTTACTCCGTGTGTTGTTTGCCAAAGGCTTTGAGCCTTTGAGACCTGCTCTCCTGTTCAAAGGGGAGAGCAGGTGTTGAAGGGGTCTTCCACATGTTAACATCAGCCAGGCCTTCGTCCTTGAGATACTCTGAAGACTGGAAAATTGAAAAGAGATGAGCCTCGTTACAGTGTGTTTGGTGTTTAATCCTGAATCTGAGTTCCACCTGAAGTCCTGAGCCCAGAGCTCAACCCATGCTTTGGGGAACTTATTTTGGGAAATGCTGCCCTAACCTGAGAGACGCTGGCTCTGTGGCAAGCCCTTGTCACTAGAGTGCAGGTCCCGGCCACCCTTTGCCTTTGCTCTCCGTACTGTCCTATGTGCACATTTGTCCCCCCTGACCTGGGTGCAGTGAAGAGGACAGGCCCTGAGCCTGACAGCAGCCAGCCCAGCAGTGGCCATTGTTGTGGAGCCAGGTAGGGCTGGGTTGATTCTCACGAAGCACGAGTACCACTGTTTCCTTATCCCAGATAGTAAGCGTTCTGGGCGCAAAAGGGAAAGGCAGGCTGACTAGAGGGAGGGACCCATGCAGGTAGGTATTCTGCATGCCAGGTGTTATGACTAGCAGCAGGTTCAGCCTGAACCTTAGCTTAACCCCGGCATATAGCTATTTTGTTTGAGTGTCTGAGAGTAATTTGCTTTTGTTTGCCCTGTTGTAGGTGGACCCAAGAGCCATATCAGTGCTAGCAAAGTGGCAGAACTCATATAGCATCAAAGTTGTCCTGCAAGAGCTTCGGCGCCTAATGATGTCTAAAGAAAATATGAAACTCCCTCAGCCGCCTGAAGGACAGTGTTACAGCAATTAATCAAAAAGAAAAACCACAGGCCCTTCCCTTCCCCCCCATTCGATTTAAGCAGTCTTCATTTTCCACAGTAGTAAATTTTCTAGATACGTCTTGTAGACCTCAAAGTACTGGAAAGGAAGCTCCCATTCAAAGGAAATTTATCTTAAGATACTGTAAATGATACTAACTTTTTGTCCATTTGAAATATATAAGTTGTGCTATAACAAATCATCCTGTCAAGTGTAACCACTGTCCACGTAGTTGAACTTCTGGGATCAAGAAAGTCTATTTAAATTGATTCCCATCACAACTGGTGGGGTACATCTAACTCAACTGTGAAAAGACACATCACACAGTCACCTTGCTGCTGATTACACGGCCTGGGGTCTCTGCCTTCTCCCCTTACCCTCCTGCCTCCCACCCTCCCTGCAACAACAGCCCTCTAGCCTGGAGGGCTCGTTAGAGTAGATGTGAAGGTTTCAGGTCGCAGCCTGTGGGACTACTGCTGGGTGTGTGGGGTGCTTTGCCTGCACCCCTGGTTTCTTTAAGTCTTAAATGATGCCCCTTCCAAGCCATCATCCTGTCCCCACCCTCCTCTACTCCTGCCCTTGGCCGAAGCATAGATTGTAACCCCTCCGCTCCCCTCTGAGATTGGCCTTCGGTGAGGAATTCAGGGCTTTCCCCACATCTTCTCTCCCCTACCTTTATCGAGGGGTGCTGCTTTTTCTTCCCTCCTCCTGAAGTTCCTTTTTGCACCACCACCACCCAACACCTTCCATGACACTTCCTTGCTTTGGCCAGAAGCCATGAGGTAAGGTTGGAAAGAGTCTCTGACCTCCCTTGTTTAGTTTCAGAACCATACTTTTTCACTCGCCACCAGCCTGGGAAATGAATATTGGGTCCTCAGCCCTGCCACCCTCTGCTGTCATCAGCTGATGCATTGTTTTTAGCTCAGGTTTTGATAAGGTGAAAAGCATAGTCACCAGGGTTACTCAGACTTGCCAGCTCTCAGAGTCCTTGGTGGTTGAACTCGGAGAAAGACCACATGAAGACACTTGTAAGCACACATGATCCCTCTGAATTGTTTTACTTTACTGTAATTGCTTTTGCTTTTAAAAATTGAAGAAGTTTTAAACAGGGCTTTCATTTGGCCATCCTTGCAATCCATGGGGGTCTAGTTTGGAATCTGACAACTGGAACAAAAAGAACCCTGAATCCGGTGCATGCCTTGGTTTTGGTGCTGCTGCTTCTCAAGATCCTCAGCAGGGATTAAGAAAGAACCCGGTGTGCACAGCAGATCCCCGAAATTGGCGGGCTTGACCTCCTGGCAAATTGCTGCGTCTTTCCACTTTCTGTTCAGGACCACTAAACGCTGAAATGTGGATGCATACTGAAATAAAAACAATTCATTGTGTACTAAAGTTTTTTTTTTTTTTTTTTTTTTAATTTAGTATTTGTGTAAAACCACCTTTTGAAGCAGCAACTATCAAGTCTGAAAAGCAATTGATGTTTCCATTGATCTTTTTCCGGGGGAAAACCTTAGTTCTGAGGATTTAACATCCTGTAAGTGAAGTTTAACCTAACAGTATTCCATAAGCAGCCTTTTTATTGTCAGACCATTGCCTGATTTTAATATAATAAAAAAAAAGTGTGCATTAATATTTAAAAGGCTGTGCTCTTCTTCCTCTTGGCATATTAGGGACAGAATTTAATGTTTTAGATGCTTTGGGATTCAAGTTGACATCCTAAAGCAGGGGTTGTCTGCAAACTTTTTCTAAAAGGGCCCAAATTAGTAAATACATAGGGTTTGCAGCCCAAGAGGCAAAATCTCAGGACATTATGTAAGTGCTTATATATGCTGAGAGAAAACAGATTTCCCCAGATTTTTAGCTGGTGAAATTCAAACTAGAGTTGAGTTTATTTGTAATGTTACTGGCTCACTAATGTGAGGACTGGGGTTCTTTTAGTCGATAACAGTTTGTTTAATTGGAATTCATTAGTATTCCCTGTCATCAAGTTTCTTGCAAATGTTCAACTGTAAAAATCATTCTTCATGCGAGAAGCCATACAGAATCAGGTGGGGGGCTAGATTTGGCCCACAGATCACAGTTTGCCAACCCCTGCCCTAAAGACGGTAGGTTTTTGTTGTTTGTTTTGAGACAGAGTTTCCCTCTTGTCGCCCAGGCTGGAGTGCAGTGGTGCAATCTCGGCTCACTGCAATCTCCGCCTGTGAGTTCAAGCAATTCCCCTGCCTTAGCCTCCCGAGTAGCTGCAATTACAGGCGCACTCCACCACATCCAGCTAATTTTGTGTATTTTAGTAGAGATGAGGGTTTCACTGTGTTGGCCAGGCTGGTCTCCAACCCCTGACCACAGGTACTCCACCCACCTTGGCCTCCCACAGTGCTGGGATTACAGGCATGAGCCACCGTGCCTGACCCAAGATGGTAGTTTTAAAAAGGGCTCTTCCTTTGGTTTAAGTAGCTTCAGAGGTCTTGGGCTATCAAATGTCCATTAGAAGCACTTTATTGGCTTGACTTAGTAGTCTTTTCAGAGAAAAAATAATCATAGGATTGTCACATGTATTTCTGATGTTTGAAACAAGAATTTCTATCTGATGATTAACGATTTGTCTACCATCTACTGCATAAGCAGTGGGAACATGTCTCATTTTTACCCAGAGCTTGAACTTCCTGCTGTGGTCCCAGCTACACACAAGTGCCACCTTGGTGGCAGGAGCAGGCCAGTCCCTCTGGCTGTTGAAGCCAGCTCAGGTGTCAGAAGAGCCGGCTGTAAGGAAAGGGCCGGGTTCTTCCCAATAGGCCGTGCTCCAGAAAGCCTTGCCCAGATTTCTGCCAATGGTCTTTGGAGTCCTCTGGAGTGGACTGCTGCCCTTCGGTTCTGAAAGTCCATGCAGGCCAGGGGCAGCTGTGTGTTCTTCATCCTCAGTCAGCTCTCCCAAGGGAGAAGGACAGGAGAGGTTTCAAAATCATTGCAGGGTCAGACATGGTGGCCTATGCCTGTAATCCTAACACCTTACGAGTCCGAAGCAGCAGACTCACTTGAGCCCAGGAGTTTCGAGGCCAGTCTGAGCAACACAGGAAAACCCCTGACTCCAAAAAAAACGAGCCAGCATAGTAGTGCGTGCCTGTAGCCCCTGCTGCTTAGGAGGCTGAGGTGGGAGGATCACTTGAATCTGGAAGGTCGAGGCTGCAGTGAGCCATGATGGTGCCACTGCATCCAGTCTGGGTTACAGAGGGAAACCCTGTCTCTAAAAAATAAAATTTCAGAATGCTGCTGGAGAATCCCAGAACAAATTCGTGGTTAAATCCAAAAGGTGGCGTCTTCTGTGCTGAGTGACCCCGAGAGGAAAACAAATCCTGCCTGAAATCCTTGGGTGTGCACTTTTTACCTTATTAGCAGGTTGGCTGGACCTGGCATAAGGCCTGTGAAACTTTAACACTCCAAATCTTCTGAGACAGCTGTTTGGATCTGTGATCTTGTGGGCACTGTGTCCCACGTTTGTGTCATTTGCTCTTGGTGGTGAGTTAACAGATGGTCTGAAGTTTATGGACAGAGTTTAGGCTTATATTGAGGGCACACAGGAAGTGCTTATGGGAGGTTCAGATGTTGCCTTTTTTTTTTTTTTTTTTTTTTTTTTTGACATGGAGTCTTGCTCTGTCACCCAGGTTGGAGTGCAGTGGCATGATCTTGGCTCACTGTAACCTCCGCCTCCCAGGATCAAGAGATTTTCCTGCCTCAGCCTCCTGAGTAGCTGCGACCTATAGGCACGAGCCACCACACCAAATTAATTTTTTGTATTTTTAGTAGAGACGGGGTTTCTCCATGTTGGCCAGGCTGGTCTTGAACTCCTGACCTCAGGTGATCTGTCCGCCTCGGCCTCCCTAAGTGCCGTGAGCCACCACGCCCAACCAGATGTTACCACTTTTGCCAGGTGGCTTCTCTGGGTCACACCTCCAGTCCCGAGCCCATGCCAGGTTTAGGCACCAGAGGGGATGTGTCCACTGGTAATTTTTACTGTGTGGAAGCTTGGAGTGTGGGGAGTCATCTGTCGCTACCTGGCAAAGCTAGGGGAGACAGCGGGTGTAGAAAGCATCCTTCTGGTTGACCCACAGCAGCAAGCCAACCGTGGGGCTCCGCTCCCCTGGATCTCTGATGGACTGTGGTCTTGGTGAGGGGCGAGGGCCAGTTCCTTGGGCTGCTTCTCCACTGGAAAGTTCTCGAGCCCTTTGGGTGAGAGCGCTGTTGGCTGCACCGCACCTTTAGTCGTGGTGTGGCATAATGATGTGGATGGTGTCACGTAAACGGAGCAGCCCTCGCCTCTGCGCCCCTTTCCACCCAGCCTGTGGATCCCTGCTTGGTCTCTTGCACGTCCCCTCAGGAGGACCTTGGGAAGCCTGGGGACAGTCACATTTCCTCTCTTGGCCTGCCCCTGCTTGATGTCACTCCCACATCAAGGAGCCCCATGACAACGTTCAAGATACAGCACTAGGAATTTATTTAGTCGGCACAGGAGGAAATTCCTTTAAGAAGAGGCAGCTTAGGCCAGATGCAGTGGCTCCTGCCTGTAATCCCAGCACTTTGGGAGGCCAAGGCGGGTGGATCACCTAAGATTGGGAGTTCAAGACCAGCTTGACCAACATGGAGAAACCCTGTCTCTATTAAAAATACAAAAAAAAAAAAAAAAAAAAGACGGCTGGGCGCAGTGGCTCACGCCTGTAGTCCTAGCACTTTGGGAGGCCGAGGTGGGTGGATCACCTGAGGTCAGGAGTTCAAGACCAGCCTGGCCAACATGGTGAAACCCCATCTTAAAAAAAAAAAAACAAACAAAAAAAAAAAACAAAAAAACTAACCAGGTGTGATGGTGCATGCCTGTAATCCCAGCTACTCGGGAGGCTGAGGTGGGAGAATCACTTGAACCCAGGAACATGCTACTGCACTTCGGCCTGGGCAACAAGAGCAAAACTCCATCTCAAAAAAAAGGCAGCTTACGAAAGCTTCATTCTTTCCAGTTTGCAAGAAAACTAGCTGCTGGGGTGGGTGGATTGTACAGAGCTCTGAGCTCCAGATGATAACAGATCAACCTCAAAGACGTCCTTGTGAGACCTGCGCAAGGTCACCTGCTAGATGCAGTCAGCTGTCACACATGGGCCAAGGTGACCTTGGGAGAGGGGAGACCTCAGGCTAGAGCTGCCTCATTGCTGCTCATTGCCCTGTCACCATGAGAATGAGGCATGGGCCACATCTTTGGGGTTCTGACATGTGTCTGATGTCACGCAGGTGGGTGGGGACAGGTGAGTTTGAAGGTGTTACTAAGTACTGGGCACATGAGCTGAGTGAATGCCAGATCTTTCTTATTTTCCAAGGAAGCTATGAATGCAGATTTTTATGTGAAATCTCCCCACATTTATGTTTCAATTGACAGAGTTGGCCAGGGGCAGTGGCTCCTGCCTGTAATGTTATCATTTTGGGAGGCCGAGGCTGGCAGGTCCATTGAGCCAATGAGTTCGAGACCAGACGGCAATATGGTGGAACCCTGTCTCTAAAAACAATTTTAAAAATTTGCCAGGCATGGTGGCGAATACCTGTAGTTCCAGCTACTCAGGAGGCCGAGGTGGGAGGATCACCTGAGTCCAGGAGGTTGAGGCTGCAGTGAGTCATGATAACGCCACTGCACTCCATTCTGGGTGACAGAGTGAGATCCTGTCTCAAAGAAAAAACAAAAACCCACAACAAACAAACCTTTCCTACTCCATGTAGAACATAAACTCATTCATAGCCAGGTGCAGCACAGGCCACTGATGAGACTGCTATATATGACCCTCTGTCACCAGCTGCTCCTGGTCCTCCCAAGATGGTCAATATGCTGTCCCTTTGACCTTTAGGAGGCCTGTGGTTCTGGCAGCTCTGCCCAGGGACATGCTCAGAGTCCGGGAAGCAGCACCTGTGTTTATGGGAACCAGACCCACAGGTAACTTTGGGCTTCCAAACCTGCTGCAGGATGCAGTATTGGTTTATGTACCATCAAGAAAAAAATGCTTGGCACAGTGGCTCACTCTGTAATCCCAGCACTTTGGGAAGCCGAGGCGGGTGGATCACTTGAGGTCAGGAGTTCGAGACAGCCTGGCCGACATGACGAAATCCTGACTTTACTAAAAATACAAAGATTAGCCAAGTGTGGTCGTGGACATCTATAATCCCAGATACTCAGGAGGCTGAGGCAGGAGAATTGTTTGAACCCAGGAAGTGGAGGTTGCAGTGAGCCAAGATTATGCTGCTGCACTCCAGCCTGGGCTACAGAGCAAGACTCCATCAAAAAAAAAAAAAGAAAGAAAGAAAAAGAAAAATGCTGCCAATTGTAGGTGTAAGACACTCTAACTGTAAGAGATGTTCCAATTCCAGAAATGTGAAGATGTCCATTTTAGAGTCAGTGGAAGGCAGGGTGGGTTTGTCAGTTGTGACAGGCAATGAGCCATGCTGCCGGTGGAGGCTGGAGACCAGGTTAAAACCCTGCTAAGAAATGAATCTGCCCCTTACACTAGCAGGGGAAATTCCGAGCTGAAGAGTCCACTTTTATTTGTATTAAATAGTGAATACATGATCCTAGAAAGGATTTCAAACTACAGAAAGGAAATAGAGTGGCCGGGC